CCCAAGAAATCTTGCAAAACAAAGTTCCCATGGCCCTCAATTGATTTTGATAAATTTATTTTTCGATGGCAACAACATAAATGGCAATGATAGCAGCAAAATTCTGTCACCTAAAAAGATGTCAAACCTGTCAAAACAAAAATATTTTCTCAACTGTTCAGACAGCTCTTGTTCTTACTCTCCAACATTTACTCAACATGAAGGATAGATTTTCATTTTGCTCACATATCTCTTACCAAAGTCCCTTCTTTGGGTATGTTATTTAATAACAATAGTAACATTCAAAAGTTCTTTTGAGCAAATCTTCAACAGTCTGTGGATCCCCTAAAGAATCCATGGGTGATTTCAAGAGACCTCCAGATCCCCTGAATTTATAGGTAAAAAATTGTAAGTAGTTGCATATGTGTATTTTTCTGGGAAGAGAGTAGCAGACTTTCATTAGATTTTTCTATAATACCACTAACACAAAAAACTAGAAACCACTACTTTGTGGCATGTAGCCCACCCTGTATGCATGCCTTTCCCATGCAGAAAAGGTTATATTGAACTAGAAAGTCTTCACGCAAGACAGACCAAAATGTCGCCTTGAGAGATGGACTTCATTACGACTAGTGGAGAAGAGGAGCAGGATATTTCAGGAGAGGGCCTAGCATGAGTAGAGGCAGAGAGGTGGAGGTGCCTGAGTCACGCTGGCAACGGCAAAGAGATCAATGGGACTTGTCTTCCTGGGTGGTTCCAATTGAACAACTACGGGAGACGAGGTGAATGAAAACGTGAAAATACCGGGTTCTATGGAGTGCTCATCATCACGAGACAATGTGGTAACACAAATATTAACCAACAGTGACGGGTAGGATGAATCAAAGCGATGGCCGAGCAGATAGAGGAGGCTATTGTAGAGGGTTGGGCAAAAGAAATGGCTTGAAGTCAAATCTGTTCACCACTTCCTCCCCAGTTTAGACCACAGGACTGGGCACAGGGTAGATGCTTGGTAAATACTCAGTGAGTGATTATATGTTCTTTAAAAGACAAGAAAGAATGGTAGGTTTCAGTGATTGGATATCCACCTTTGTATCATTCACAGAGCCTAGCGGGGCCTTACACAGTGATTCTAGACAAAATTCTCTCTAATACACATGGGCTGGGATGAGCAGACACGTGGGATGAGTTAAACAAAATCCAAGCATTGAGAGAGGGTAGGTAGTGCTTGTTCCACAAATAATCAATGACTTCTCAGGGAAGGTGCATTTTTAAAGGAACTAGTCAAGGTGGTGTAATAGAACCAGAGAAGGACAAGGTCATAGATTTTAGTTCTAGGTCCTGCTCTTAAAATAAGTATTTTTGTGACATTGAGTCAGTAGAAATCTCTACAACTCAACTCTCTTGTAAGGGGCTTTCTAGAGTTACCCAATAGCCTGCTTATACACCTGTATGATTCTACATGCCTTCAAGAAATACCCATGGTCTGGATATATATTTCAATGACTCTACACACTTTCAGACAAATTCATGCACTTATCAGATTTGGAGAACATTTAAAATCTGGTAGTGTAAGAATAAATCATCTAAAATGAAAGACCTCACAGTAAAAATTATATAGTTATGTGTCTTGGTCGTTTTAGTTTTACAACTTGGAGAAAGTAAAATTAGAGTTTTTTCTGTATTTCAAAACAAGTTTTCATCTACAAAATGTCAAGAATTCATCATACACTCTCAGTGCTTATGGAGTTAAAAATTGTAGGGGTTTCTTTCCTTAACCAACTTGTTTGATTAAAACATATCCTAATAGCTATGTATTTGGAAGGAGGAATGGCATCCACTTCCATAACAGCTTGCCTCCGGAAACCCTATGAACCTGGAGAGAGGATGAAATGCACCCATGTGTCGAGGACTCTCCTTCATAGGGTTGCTATGAGACGCATGTGACCCAATGGCACTTAACAAGAACTAACAACAATAGTCAAGTATACATAAGCAGGACTCACTTCTATACTAGTCTGCTGTTATCCTTTAAGTTCAAAGTGTTGTAAATTTATGTGGACTTAACAGGACTACTATACACTCATTATGTCTCAAAAATCCAAAATAGTGGGTTCTGAGAATGTGATTTACTTCTGCTTAAAATTATGTTGTCCCTACATGACTCCATGGTATTTTCAATTGCTTCCTATGCATTTAAAAGTTGGACAATAATAAGGATGACAGAAGAATCATCAATGCCTTTGCATGAAGGTGCTAGAGAAGAGTACTGACTATCCCATGGACCGCCAAAAGAAGCAAGTCTGTCTTGGAGGGAATGCAACACTGTGTTCTTTAGAGGCAAGGGTGATGAAACTCTGTCCAACATACTTGGAGCAAGTTGTCAGGAGGGACTAGTGCTTGGAATAAAGACATCATGTTGGGAAAGATGGACAATCAGAAAAAGAGCAGAAGACCTCCAACAAGACAGACTGACACAGTGACGGTAGCAATGGGCTCAAGCATGTCGGGGATGATGAGGAGGTGCAGGAAAGGGCAAGATTCAGGTCTTTTGTTCGCAGGGTCACTATGAGTCACAGCTGACCCAAAGGCATCTTCTAGCAACAACAACCTATCTACTGCAATGGCTCTCTGAGACTGCTTACTGATTAACCCTGATGAGTTGGAAGTGGAGGGCACAGGGAGGTAGGAAGGGGGCAGAATTTACAGTCAGAAGTTAAAAGCTAGAACATGTGTCCATAGGGTCTCTGTCCAACCAAAAGCATCTGTTAACATTAAAGATCAAAAGAAAAGAAACAGAGGTGGACAAGCAAAAAAGATGAGCAGAAGAGCCCCTAATTTCTTGTTGTTTTTCTTAAAAGTAGCACCTGTTCATCAGATTGAGGAACACTTGAAATCTAGGTCTCTGAAGAAAGTAGCACATAAAATTAAAACCATCCTAGTACTGTGGGAAACATACAGCATTAATTTCTTTCGCTCCTTTTGTTTTCACAGCCCACCTTGGGAAAGTCAAAGCTGAGAGCCCATTAGGCTTCCAAAGCAAGTCTGAATATTGGAAAAGGTGAGTATTTCATGTAAACTGTCGCATGCCGGAGACTTCAGCTAGCAGTTTCCACTCCTGTGGGCGGCACCTACATGACATGAATGGTTTTATAGTTGCACTTTGAATATTAGCTCTCCACATTCTCGTCCTCCATTCAGTGCACCCAAGGAGCAATCAATTTAAAAAAGGTATGTTAATCTACACTGTCATAACTCAATCATCCTTAAAATGCATCCTATTTGGTGCTATCCTGTAAGAATAACTTGTTTGGAGGAAAATTTCAAATGTATCTTTTCCCAGCTTAGGCTAGGGAAAGGACAACATAATTTTTGTGACAAACATTATAGTTGCATCTATATGTCACCTAGAACTACCACCAGCTGGCCTTAGAACTATTTTTTTAATAAAAAACAACCACCACTGCCACCAACACCACACTTTTGAGAAATAAGCAAATAGTTCCTCCCCCACAACTCTAGAGAATTAAAACAAGTTTATCCACACATATCTTCGCCACTACATTTCATTAGACATCAAAGAGTCCTCTGAAATATGAAGGATTTTTAATGAGAAATAATTTAGTGAATCTCTGTGGAAAAACAAATTTCTAACTTAGGGTATTTTAACATTTATTGCCAGTTATAGATGTTATGCATCATTGCTTAGTTGGTGCCAAACACCCAGAAAACAATCTCGAAAATCCTGCCCTTTTACCTTTGGTGAAACCACAGCAGTTTTTCAGGTTTGATTCACAAAACCTGGATTCCAAGAGAGGTTTTTTTCAAGCAAAAACATGAGTTTCTCAGAGGAAGATCTATCTTTTAACAAGGGTTCTTTAATTGCATAATAAATAGTCCTCAGCCAGTGAGTCAGTTGTGGTCAGAGCAAAGCAACTTTGTCTGCAGGGATAAATCGTACCACCAACTCCCTTAGTCCAAACCCACAGCCACCACCAAATCACTTTACTCCATACTGGCCTGAAAAAATATTCTAAGCCAAGACAAACTATGCCTTCAGGGACAGATGACTGCCTTAGCAAATAGAAGTAACCCCAACAAGTATCTATGATCTGGGGCATGAGGGAGTACTGGGGAATGAGGGAGTGCATGTAGGGATGGGGGATCCTTAATAGGCATTAAGATTTTTATCTTCAGTAACTGTCCTCCTACTCGGTAATGAAAACACTGGAAAAGTTGCATTAGTAAAACTGCATAGAGTCTACAACCGTACAAAGTGCTTTATACAAGTAACATGATTCTTTCCTACTTCTTTTCAGTACATCCTGTAAGGTTTGTTTCCAAAAAGACATTACAAGTTGGCAAGCTTCTGCCTACAAAAATCAATCAAATGTATTCCCCTCCACCACTATTAAACCCGCCATATTCCTGAGCTTCATTCCCTACAAATAAATAAAACATGAGCAACTTAACGCTCTGGAGTCCACAGAGGACAGCATTCCAGTGAGTTCAGGCAAAGACAGAAACACTTCTCTGCAAACACAGAGCAGAAGTGAAGACCATGTGTCACCGCTGACGACTTGTATAAACATTTCCAAGGTTCTTCCAACAAAAGATTTTGATTCAAGCAAGATCACAAAAAAGGAATGATGACAGTTCTGACTGTGTGTGTTTCATCGGCTTGACTTGACTATCTGTGGCTGTTGTTGCCTGGATATGAAATTCCTTTGTCGGCATTTCTTCACATGTATGGAAACACAACAAAGAATAAAATTGTTTATGTCACGCCTCTTCCAAGAGGTTTAAAGCGCCTTACGAATGTTATCACATGAATCCTCACAACATCCCTGTGAGGTAGGTAGGTGGAAAGTATTGTAACCCCACTTTACAGGTGGGGGAAATGAGGCACACAAGAGTTAAGGGACTTGCCCCGAATCACACAGCTAGTCACTGGCAGAGCTTAGAACAAAATGTATATTGATTAGCACCTAGCACAGTGCTTTGCACATAGTAGGTGTTCATTAAATATCTGTGAATTTTATTTGACTTACGTCTCGAAATACAATATACACACATAAGGTACAAGCAGCCACCAGAGAAGATTTCTCTCCTACATTTTTTCTGATGACATCTCCCATTACTTTGGAAACTGGCGGGTGAAAGATAATCAAGGGTTCAGCTCGCAACTACACTCTCAACCACCTCAAGAGAATCAACAGAAAAACTATCTGATGTCAACCCATTCTTTCCTCTGCTCTGCCACATAAATCCAGTTTTCTAATGAAATCAAAAATGGATTTCAGGAACCATGCTGACTTTTTTTTTTTTCCTGTACATTTTTAAAGGAAGCCATCTGTATGGTTCTGTACTTGTTCTTACAAGAGAAAAAAAAAAGAGAAAGGAAAGGCGGCAGCTACAGTCCAGTTTGCATGTGAAGACTCTGCCAAGCTTGGAGATCTCTTCCCAGTTCCAATGGAGTCAAATGAGGGAAGCTAGACAGACCCCAGGGTGGGGCAGCTCTGACTGTAACAAAGGGGCCTGAGGCTGCATGTCACTTGCACTGTTCATGATCTGTGCAGTCATCCATGTCCACATCAGAATCAAAGAGTGAATGTCCAGTGAAATCTGTATCAGGGGTTCGGGAAAAACTGTTCTCTGCTCCCTCATCTTCAAAGGTCTCTGTCCTTGAGTAAAAGCTGAAATCCAGCAGGGGAGTGTGGGCTTTGCTGCCTTCGCTGCTCTCTTCTGACTCGTAGATGGTGTTGTCGTCATCATGATGCCACTCAGGCCAGAATTTCCTTCTTATCCTCTCACAGTACATGGCAAGGTTGATGAGCTCGCCTGGAACGTGGGGAGAGAAGGAGAGAGGGTGAGATCTCAGAGGCTGCCTCCTACCAGCCACTCTTTTCTTGGGAAATGCAGAGGATTGAGGTGGCACAGAGAGTCAGTCTTTATTCATACAAATTCTCTTAACATACCTACATTATCACGCACAAAAGAAAGCTAAGTGGAGGAGAAAAGTTCATCAGAGGCCTGGGAAGAAACAAAGACATGCAAATTGAAACAACTATGAGATATCATCTCACCCCAGTCAAAATAGCAAAATTTAACAGAACAGCAAGCAACAAATGCTGGTGAGGTTGTGGAGAAACTGGAACCCTGATTCACTGTTGGTGGGAGTGTAAAATGGTGCAACCCCTGTGGAAAGCAGTATGGCGCTTTCTCAAAAAGTTACAAATAGAGATACCATTTGACCCAGCAATTCCACTACTGGGAATATACCCTGAAGAGACCATAGCTGACAACCAAGCAGATATATGCACTCCCATGTTTATTGCAGCTTTGTTCACAATAGCAAGGAGTTGGAAACAACCTAAGTGCTCATCAACAAACGAATGGCTAGAGAAGCTGTGGTATATTCGCACAATAGAATACTATGCTGCATTAAAAAACAAGGAACTCATGCAATATTATTCAAAATGGTTGACTCTGGAGAACATTATGCTGAGTGAAATATCCCAGTCACAAAAGGACAAGTATTACATGATGCCACTGTTTTAGAATGGGACTAACCTCAGGGTTGGGGAGAGACTGAGTAAGATGTGTTCAATAATGTATACTGCACTGAAACAGAGGAGGGAGAAAACTGTGTAAAAGAGATATGTGACTAGGTATTTCTGTCATCACAGGAGTCTAGAGCGAGGGCTACACGGTGGAGGGGACCTGGGGGAGGGTTTGTAAAACAATGAAAGAATCTTTTCTTTTACTTTTCCATAACTTTAGACTCATGTACTTATAACTTGTTAAATTTGTGTCTTCTAGGTTGCAACCCCCCCACGATACATCTTCAGGGATATGAACATGTACGGCTAAGCACAATTAATAACAGTGCATCTAAATTCCAAAATCAATCTCCATAATAGTCTATGTGTTTCCTACTGCCAAAGGGACCCTTTAGAGTAATGAGAGAAGATCTTCACCCCGAAACCCATAGTGTCCCTTTTCAGCAGGAAGTAGCTAAGAGAATACACCATCCCCTTTTCCTTATGAATCAGGGTGAAGTCTCTCTCAGGGAGGAGTGATAGGGAATGGCAAAGGACACACTGACAAAGGAGATTAATCAGAACTGACTTTGACAAGCACTGTGGCAATTGGACAATTAAAACAGACATTCGGGTGGTGGGGAAGAAGAACAAACTGAGGAGGAGGGTAGAGAAAATGGTGCAGTAATGAAGGAATGAAAACCCCCCCAAAAAAAAGACATAAACCTGTAATAAAATTCTGATCCAAGTGGTAGATAAAGCGTCCTCATTTGCCATTGTAGTCCGTTTTATTATTTTATGTTTAAAGAGCAAGAAAAATAATGTTCTGGCTGGTTTGTATTTACATAAATTTGTATTCTATTAAAATACACCAAATATTGGATTAAGAGGGGAACTCTAGTGGTTTAATTGGTAAGATACTGAGGTACCAACAAACTGCTCTTCAGAATAATGATGGGAAACCTCTTCCCATGTGATTTTATAGCCTCTGAAGACCTGCTGGAGGGTAAGCTATGAGTAGGTTTGTAGCTTGTTGAGTTACTGGATTAGTAGCTTGTTGAGTTACTGGATTAAGTCAGCCAGAGGAATTACCCATTCATTCACCAGTTCCACAAGTATTTATCGTGTGCTTTTGTACTAGCTCTGGTGACCTCGTAGTAAGAAACTGCGCTGCAATCCCATATGCACCTGGTTTGAATCCACCAGATGTTCGTGGGAGAAGAATGGGTAATCTCCTCCCAAGCGATTAAGTGCCTCTGAAAATCCTCTGGAGGGTCAGCTATGGGTTAGTTCCACCTCGACAGTACACAGTAACATTTTACTAAATAAAATTTTACTAAACATTTTACTGAGCACTTGGGTACTAAACCAAGTACTTATGAGAAGTTATTGCTGATTTAAAAAAAATTCCCTAACTAATCCATGAAAAGGATAATCTAGATGGTTGAATATGTCTTCAAATACACTTAGTAAAACAAACTTTTGCTGCGCTGCAATCCTGAAAGTAAGCAATTCAAATCCACCAGCCGCTCCGTCGGAGAAGGATGGACAATCTCCTCCCCAATCAATTAACTGCTCCTGAAAACCAACTATGCTTGGTTCCCACTCAATGGTAAACTCACATTTTAATTCATTCTTAGTCAATGGACTAGCGAAAGAACACGTTCGTTGTAAAAAGAACTAAAATTGCACAGGCATTTGGCTAACATGAGTGTGTTTGGCTTGCCAGCCCTAATTCTAAATGAAAAATAGTGAAATTACACTTTTCATCCACCAGATGGCAATATTGCTTATTTATAGTATGCCATTATCTCTCCTAAGGCTTTGCAACCTTTATATTTTTGTAAAGTTATATAATTTAAAAATACTCCAATTCTTTTCCTTCCAGTCGAAACCAAATCATAGGTGCCTCCCCAGCGGGTTTTCAGAGGCTGTAAATAACATGGGAGCTTACCCCCTTTCCTCTGCAGAGTCAGAATGGTGGACTCCGGCTGCCAGAGAGACACAGCGCGGTCATAGGTTAGCTACTCAACTCCGTATGGACTGCGCCACCAGAGCTCATTAGAAAATAAAGACAAGGGAAAAAATATAACTGTCAGGAATTCCATCCTCCATATTAACTTCTGTCCTTCCAGAAACGTACATGTGTTACCTATCTTTATATATTTACATTAAGGGTATTGAGGGATCCCTGATAGCCGAGAGTAAGGAGTTGTGCTGTGGACTCAAAAAGCAACATGGGAAATCTCCTGTGTGATTTACAGCCTCAGAAAAACCTGCTGAAGGGTCACCTATGAGTCAGTCCTGACTCGATAGCAATGAATTTTCAAATTATATAGGATTAACCAAATTAATTACACAGGATTTTATCAAGTTAAGCACATATGTTGTTTCCTAAACTACTTCCCCCCCGAACATAAAAAATATTTCTATTTCAATTTCTTCTCTCTATGATCAATTTGATGTACCAATCTCTGTTACAGACCATGTAGGTTATTTCTTTATTGAAATTCCATTGACTGTAACTCATTTACCTGATAAAAACCAATATATTCTTAACATGCTCAGATGAACAGTGAAGGTTTGTTGTTGGCTTAAGGAGCAGGGTGTCGGGAGGACCCCTGGCTTGTGGACTGAGCCCCATGTGGGCTGAGCGAGGAGACTAGCAGGTCTGGAACAAAGGGAGAAAGTTTCCCGGTGATGCCCATTTGAGCCTGGTCATAGAAGGCTGGAGATGAGTTGACCAGAACTCTACTAGATGAAGATGATCCATGCTATGAGCTAAGGTCAATTGCCACAAGCTGATGGCCTGCTCTGGACTGGACTTTGCCTGTGGATGCAGATGCTCAACATTGCCCAGTTGAACAGAGAATTCTTCAGCAAAAAGGGCATGCCTGTTCCCTTGGAGTACTGGTTTGATGGCGATGTGCAAATCAGAAATTGGCTATTTAAAAGGGAGATATTAGGGCATGTGACAAGAAGGCTAGTTGACACAATTTCACAGAAATTATTATTAAGATGATTTAAAGGGGGAGGGAAACCCCACAATATACATGAACAAAACATAATATAAATGAAACTACTTATATTAAAAAAATTTAAAACCCAACATATTTGTACTTAGAAAACTTGGAAACTATAACCATATAAAGAAAATAAAGATTCTCCTATGTTACCAATCCAAGATAATCACAATTCATATTTCAGTGTCATTTCTTTCAGTATTTAGCCCTTTTTATCTATTGTTATTACCTCAATTAACCTTTCTTCAGGGTATTGCAGAGCAACGACGTTAGTCTGGAGACTAAAGTGCACCTGATTCAGCCCACGGTCTTCACAATTAGTTGCTATGCATCAGAAAGCTGGAAAATGACTAGGGATGATAGAAGGAGAATTCATGTTTTTGAGCTGTGGTGCTGGAGAAAAGTACTGAATATACCATGGACTGCCAGGAGAGCAAACAGGTTCATCCTAGAGAGGGTGAAATCAAGCTGCTCTTTGGAGGTAAGTATTCTGAATTTCTGTCTGACATACTTTGGGAATGTTTCAAGGAGGTACTAATCCTTGGAGGGGAACATCACGCTTGGGAGGGTGGAGGGACAACACAGGAGAGGAAGACCCTCAATGAGATGAACTCACTGACTGAGGTTTTGGGGACTGGTGTGTCAGAGATAATAAAGTTGGCTCAGGACAGAGCAGGATTTAGGGCTGTTGTACATAGGGTTGCTATAAGTCTCAAGCAGTTCGACGGCACATAACAACTACATTATTAGAAACATCTTTTCATGTCACTGAAATGTTTGCAAACTGTTGTTTAAATTAACAAACACCTAAAAATACACCAAAGCAAATCTCCCCGCATCATGGATGCTCTAACTAGTGGAGCATCTATTAGGCTCCAGGTCACCACTTCCTGTCTTCTCAGCTCCAAACAGCTCAATTCACACTACGAAGCATCCACTCTGATCGTCCAATGCCCAAGACATGCTCAGGAGCCAGAAGCTGAGAAGCTAGAAGCCAACGTCATTGATTTTTGGGGGAAGGTGCATGTAAATTCTTCACAGGCAAGAAATACCTCACCAGCTATTCCCGTCAATCACAGGTAACCAAGAATGGGGTAAAGACGTGGAAGAGAACAACAAAGGGGTGACAGGGATCCAACTGGAACATCGAAGCTGAATTAAGGTCACTCACCATTTAGCCAGAGGATAAGCCTGTACATCTCAAGAGAATCGAAGTCCATTCCTGCCATCCTGCCATCAGCTACGAGCCTTCATCCACAGTCTGTCGTTACTGGCA